ATCGGATTTTAAAGTGATTGGAATAAAAAATTGGTTGTCCTGAGTAGGCTGTCTTTGTGGAATCTTGGGCAGAAGGCTTTGGCCCACCTCGTGCTGTTTAGCCAAATAAGATGATGGTCGTAATAATTTCTACTGGGGAAGACGGGGCTGAAAACTTCAGAACCTGTTTGATTGCTGGAGGAAAGAGAGAGGAATTTAAAGCCGATAATTAAAAACACCTGTAAGTCTTATGAGGGAATCAAACTGGTTTTTAGGTTTTTAATCTCATTTCCTCCTAGTGACTTGATAGCGTTTTTGCCAAATAAAATGATGGATATTTTTCCCTTAAATATTAATTTGCAACCATTTTTTTTTCCTCCTGAATTTTGTCCATGATTTTAAAAATACATACTAAGAGCTGTCATTACAAACCAACTGTGTTCTAACTTTTTTTTTACTTTTAAAGATATTTAGTTTTAGGAAAATACAAAGCATTCCAAAATAAGTTATTTAATTTTGTGGTCTTATATTTATTAAAAACTGCCGACCGGCCTGTGTAGGGGGCAGGGTACTGTCCTTCAGAAAGGTTCTGGGTTCGAATCCCGGGCAAGGCATGGATGTTCTTTCCTTCTCTGTACTATTTGTCCTCACTGTGGGAGCGATGTTGCTCCACTTAATATGGTGCCCCTGAAAGAGAGGTCAACAAAATCGTCCTGTAAATGCCTGAATTGCCGGATGTTAACACAGGCGCACTGGAAAAATAAAAAAGATTTTTTTTATTAAAAACTAATCATCTCCAAAACTGAAAATCGTTAAATTTAAAGGAAATTNGTGTTGGTATGTAAAATTTCGCAGAAACGAAGAAATTAAGTTTTTATTAAGGAGTCAAGTATTTTAAACCCATATAGATTTTTTACGAAAATTGTCCGCAAAAAAATGACATCTAATATATTTTAGTTCTCGGGCCACAAAAAAAGGCTTCGAGGGCCGGATGCGGCCGCCAGTTGGAAACCGCTGCTTTAGAGTTTGATTAAGCCTTAACTATTCTTTTTTCCTTCCCTTTTTTGTCAAAAATAGTATATATTTATGAATCTGTACCACCCGTAACTAATATATATATATACCTCCTAATATATACCACCCGCAATCTATATTTTTAGAATTCTTTTTCAAATATGAAGTGAAAAAAAAATATATAAATTAAGGATTTCAAATTAGCATTAGGGCCAGAAAAACAAAAACACTATCTTAATTACTTTTGACCGACCATTACTAGCGTTTTGTTTGAAATCGTCTCTGGAGGAGATGTTTTAACTCAGAAATTAATAACGATCTATTTCATCAAGAGTATTAAAATTAAAAGATTGAATTGGGCTGTTCATATTTCCAGACTACATAAAAAAGATCTACTAAAGGAAATTTTTGTGTCAAAACCCTTAACTAGTCGAAAATAAGAAAGGCCAAAACAATGATGGCTTGATTCTGCAGAATTGGATTTTAAAGTGATTGGAATAAAAGATTGGTAGTCCAGGCTCAAAAAATAGACTGTCTTTGTGGGATCTTCAGCAGAGGGCTTTGGCCCACCTTGGGCTGTTTAACCAAATAAGATGATGATGGTTGTAATAATTACTACCGAGGAAAACGGGGATGAAAACTTCAGAACCTGTTTCATTGCTAGATGAAAAATAGGAATTTAACACAAGAAAGACTGAAACGTAGTATATAATTGCACAAAAGCAGTAAAAATGACTGGATTGTAAAAGAATAAATAACGTGTAAAAAAAATTGTTTAAAATTAATTTTTTTATATTATTTACAGTTATATAACAAGTTATTAGTAAACATTAACAAAAAAAATTATATGTTGTACAAAATTCTAAGAAATTGTGTCATTTTGTACATCATTATTTTTCGAATTGAAATTAAAAGCAGTCAAAATGACTTCCTTAGGCTATCTAGTGTTAAAGGTGATAATTAAAAACACCTCTAAGTTTCGGGAATCAAATTGGTTTTTAGTTCCATTTTCTCTTAGTGACTCAATAAAGTTTTTGTCCCCTTTCTCTTAGTGACTCAATAGCGTTTTTGTCCCCTTTCCCTCTAATATTAATTTGCAACCATTTTTTTTTTTCGACTAAATTTTGTCCAAGATTTTAAAAATACATACTAAGAGCTGTCATTACAGACCGTGTTCCACTTTTTCTTCTTTATTTATTTTTTTACTTTCAAAGATATTTAGTTTTAGAAAATTACAAAGCATTCCAAAACGAGTTATTTAATTTTGTTATCTTAGATTTATTAAAAAGTAATCATCGCCGAAACAGTAAATCGTTTAATTAAAAAGAAATTAAATTATTTCTTTCGCAGAATATTGCATTTTCCAACAAAAAAAATGTGAAGTTGTTACTTTGTTTTAAATATTTTTAGCAATTTTCAAAACAATACTCTTGCAATTTTTGAAACAATAAAAATCTTCATGCACTAACATTTTTATTTTTCGTTTTCTAAAAATGATTACATGTACTCAGTTATTATCCGTAAAATATTTCCAGCAATGCATAAATTCACGTTTAAATTGATTCATTTTTTAGACTTAATTAAGTAATGTTCCTTTTGCTGAAAGCATGTGTTCAGTTCGCGTTCATAATCTCAGAAAGCCTTTTCTTTCTTCATTTTCATAATTTTTCAATCTATTCGACGAATGAATTTATTATCCTTTATTTAATTATAAAGTATAAAGCGAAAGTGCTTTATGAAATTCTAAGAATTTCTTGTCACTTGCTTTTAATAATGTTTACTTATGATTAATGATTATGTCTGATTATCTTTCTATTCTTTTTTTACCCTTTCTTTTTGAGTAGGGAGGCTGGTGCACGAGAACTTTAAATGTATAAAACGTACTTTAATGATTTTCAGTATTGTACTATTCTAAATTAATATTTTTTCACCGTCACACTATGAATTTTATAGAACAAAAAATTTTATTAAGGTGTTCATCACCCTCATTAATTTTAGATTAATATTTGAAACCCCTCTTAAGTTATTTTTAAAAGTAAAGTCTTAATCTTTGTTTGGCACATCAATCAATGAAAACAAGAAATATTCGAATTTGCGGACAGGTCACGTGATAAAATACTTCCGTGAATTGCTATAGCAACACTCTAATGTATAATATTTTCCACCCAATTGTGAATTATTAATGTATCGAACGTTTCCTTCAGTCATTTGTAACTGCTTAGAATAAAAGAAAGACTTTCTAACCTGGAAATAATAATTCTGTTCTTGCAGAAACTCGATTTGGTGTAAAAATAATTTCATATTTTTTTTACAAAAAAGAGAAATTATTTCAATATTCTTACAAATTATTATTATTACCTATTTCTTACAAAGTTTATGTTAAAATTTATAACTTGAATCGTAGATCACAAAAATATGACTAATTTGAAAAACTAATTAAAGAAATATGGAAGTAGATGGATACGGTTCCCTGCGTTTTGTTTGGAACACTACGCTTTCGCTTTTTTTCCTTAACAATTTTCAAAACTATTTACTATGTTCGTCAACAGATGGCCTTTCTAGATTTAAAAAAAAAACTAGAAAACAATATTTGGACCAAATAACTCACCAGGTACAGCAAAAATTGGCGCAGTCTGATGCCAATTTAACTGGAGGTTGCGCGAAAATATTATCTATGATGATCTGAAATGCAGCAGAAATATATTTTTATATTTTCTAGTACGCAGTGCCATCTGATGACAAAATTCATAACCACATTTGAAACTTAGTGAGGATAAAATGCTAGCTTCCGAAGCAGAACGCAGTCAACTACAATTTTATCTATTTTACTTAAATTGATTTTTTAAATCGTTAATATTTTTGTGTCACTCGGTACGGTATGCCGCAATCTGAATAATAAGGTCCAAATAGTTTGGTTAAGAGAGCGGTATGGTAAGTGTGGACCCCTTAATGTTTAGCGTATTTCACCGTATCTCGAGAACTTATTGAAATTTGATTTCGCAAAAACTGTTCGACCAATTTCGCTCAAATATTGTTTTGCCATTATATATTGTTTTGTCTTTAAAACGACGTAGAAGATTGTCTACCTTACAATTCAAAAAATTTTCGTGTATGATTAAATAAAATAATAAATATTTATGAAAAGTTATTTTTTACAAATTATTATATTTGGATAAGCTAATTTTATACAATTGTGTTAAAAAAAATTTTCGATTCGTTTAAAAAGTTTTCGAAACATGGTGAAAAACGCGAAAAGTAAAACATTAAGTGGTCCAAACCTTGGACCGGTCTCCTGACCAAAATATTCTAGCCTTATTTCCCAGATTGCGGCTACTCTCTATTTATGGAGTTAGAAATTTGAATCTGTCTAAAAAAAAGTTTATTCAGAGAAAGTACGTTTTGTGTCTAATTTCGTAACTTAAAATATCGTTTGCACTGACTAATTACATATTTGAGATAATAATCCCTCGAACCTTTAAGATTGAGTCCATGAACTTGAAGATCCGATCATTAGATCAAAAATCAGTCGCACTGCTGTACATTTTAGCGCGCACTCATAATATAAATAAAAAAAGGAATTTATATCTCAATAAAAACGAGAATCGAGGATTTATCTGCAATATTGATCTCTTATGTAATATGCATTCATTTTATCCTAATTCTAGTTTGTATATCTCCAAAAAAAATCGAATCAGTTATGTAAATTATCTACATCTTATCTTACAGAATGAAACAGATTATACACTAGAGCAGTGGCTTAGCAAATAACTGATTAAAAGAAAAGTGAAAGGGAATGAAAAACACTGCTCCTCTGTAGAAAAAAACAGAAACTGAAATAAAAATACTTTGGAACTTCGCCGACTAGTCCGCACGCCTCTAGGGTAAAGAGAATAAAAAGAATAACGATGGTTGAACTTCGGTTGCTAAGTAACCGGAACATCCGGGTGCTCGCAACTAAATACCACTTTTTTTTTATTGTTTAATATCGCTCCAACTTTCTTCTTTGATATGTTTCACTCATCATTTGTCCGAGGAGTGTTTAACTTATCGGTTATCACTGTGTGTTTATTGACTACAAATTGCTAGTGTGACTGGTTCGAAAAAAAGTTTTGCTCGTTCATTCATGACTGTTGGATTAGGAATAACTGGATTTTGCTGTGGAATAAATATATTGTGTTTTGTGTGTGCAAATTAAGAAATGATTCCGCGTGTGCTTGTAAAATTGAAGATATGATTTTGATGAGCGATTTCTTGCAGTTAATTGCTGAAACATTTAATTGGTGAGTTTTGTATCTCTACACCTGCAGTTTCCGAATTTTTTGGGCCACTGAACCCTAAATGATAAAACTTCTTTCGGTAGAAACCTTATCGGTTAACCAATAAAAGACTACTTGGATTAGTTTAATTTTGGATTGAGATTAGTTTTTGTTTTGAAAATAGGAATGGGAGGAATGGAATTTTTTTATTGTTTTGTTCATTACTAGTCTTGCAGTTGAATTTGCACTCTTGGAGCTGTATCTAATTTAGTTTTAAATTTGTTTTTGTAGCAAAGACGTAGTTAAATAAAATAAATAAGCCGAATTATGGTTTAAATAGGGGCTTAAAGGAAGGAAAAATATTTCTTTATTAATGGTTTTAATTTTATTTTGAATTGATGCGAAGAACTAATGCAGTTTTTCTTAAATGCGGGTTCCTTTCATAATTTATTCATAATATTGTTATTAGAAAAATGATTTAAGTGCTTACTCTCGGAACGCTAGGGTTCCACGGTATACCATTTAGGAACCCATTTTTGATCGCATCATTTCAATAAATATTTTTTTATTAACGCTGGGACTTATATTTTTCACTAATTTTATTTTTCTGCTATTGTCAAGTGTTCTAAAGGCATCTATAAAATATTAGTGTTAATTTAATAATTAAGAGTAAACACATTCTTTTGAGAAATTTTTAAACTACGCTAGTTTCTTGTTAACTTAAAACTAGTTAACTTGAGTTGGTTATTGACAAATACTACTCTTTGAAAACATAATTAAAAACTAGTGTACAACCAGGGTTTAAAAAAACCCAACCCGCCTGGGTTTTATTGAAAAAAACGGGGGGAAATTGGGTTTTATTTGAAAAAAATCCTGGGAAAATTTGGTTTTTTCATTTAGTAAACATGAACTTCTAAAGTTTTACTGTGTAAATAATTTTATTTATTAAATAGTGTTGTATAAGCTTAAAAATAGAAATAAATCCAAAAAGTTAATATTAAATACATATAACAAAATTAAAATAAGTTTAAATAACCATTGCCACTAATACATATTTGGATCTTCTTTACTGTTAAAGACATAAAGTTTCACAATGTTTGACTTAGTATATAGTATGGTTTGTTTAGAAAAACTAAAATCATGGCCTATCATAAGGTTTTTATTTTGAAAAAGCTCTGTATTTCTGATTTTTTTGTGTGTTTTTTCTTAAGAATTGTCTATTATTAGTACATATTAGTTTACAAAAATTGAATGAAATATAAGGTCAAATTTATTAGTATATCATATTTTACTTATTTTATAATTAATTATTTTGTAATATAAGTATTTTATTTAATATAAGTATTATTATGAAGTAAAAATCGTATGTAATTAAACATGTGAATTAGGTTTAAAGTTAAGACCAGCGGGGCCTCAGCTATTTTCTGACTACACAAGTTATTAATGCTTATAATAAAACCCACAACTTATAATATTTATAAATTGAAAAAAAAAAAATCTTCATTTCTGAAAGTAAATTTGCTGTCACTAAAGGCATAATTAATGTTTTACTTATTGTGACTTTAAGTTTTGCAATTGTTCGAAATTCACCAACATTTAACGTTTTAAAGTTCAGAGTAGTGAATTAATTATGCATTGAATAATATTTTCTGTTTCGTTAAATGAAATGGAAGAACTAAAAGTGGTAGTAAATCTTGTAAAATGCGTTATGAATAGTTTCCCGTTTTAGCTTACTCTTAAGTTTGTAGAAGTCATATCAGAAGAATGTCAAAATGCATCCCCCCCATTCTCTACAGTCCCCCCCCTTTACTTCATTTAAAACTGATTAAAAATGTTGCCGCTTATTTAAATTTTCTTAATTAATAAAAACATCGAATTGAGAAATTTTAAATTATATTATTATGTATAGCAATGAATCTCGATCTAAGCATTTAACTTTCAAAACTGTTGTAAGAAAAAAATTAATTAAAATTTTAAAATCAATTTAAAAAGTTAAAATCATTCATTCAATTTGTAATTTAAGAGAGAGCTATGTTAAATAGCATTTTTAAGTATTTGTGAAATTCTGCTTTTGTAAAGTTGAGAAACATATTCAAAACACATACGAAACATCACTGACTAAAGCATATGCTCATATTCGAAAATTTTGTGTTTTTAACATTTTACATCTATTAAAATTAACCTAAAGTCATCATTTATTAATGGAGTAAAATTTAACGCTATAAAGTTTTATTAGTATTTTAAAATTATTGTTATTTTTTTTTTTTTTTTTACTTAAAAGAAACAGGGTTGCTTAAAATTATCAGGAGTTCCCTGGACCACCAACCAATTAATGTAAAGGGTTGTTTGATGTATTATTGATTACTTTCTTCAAGACCAGTGAGAAAATTTTCTTAATTTCTCTCCTTGAAAGATATTGAAGTTATATTTACCTTGTTCATGACTCAAAAATTTTCTTCATTATGTTCCTTTTTCGAATTCTTCTTTCCCTCTCTTACTTCTTCAGAAACAGAGACTCAGTAATTAACCCCACACACATCTAGTCCAAGTTTTTATTTTTCATTTTGGCAATTGTAAAAATGTTTGCCAAAATGAACAAAAATTAATAGAGAAAATTTAGACCTGCCTGTAGTCTAATAAATATGTAAAATAAGAAAGTTATGAAATACTTTTAGATTGGTAATGGTCTGTCTAATGACATAATTAGTTAGACATGGAAAAGTGTGCAACCATTCCACAAGAAGTCTGTCAAAACCATTGTACTACCGCTATAGTAAGAGTCTATTTCTCGGATATTGGAGGGTTGAGAGGTCTTGATTCCCTCTATATATGAAAGTATGAACTATTTGAACTAGGGATTCGCTATATGCTCTATCTATAATATCCGAAAAAATTGACCATTATGATAGCGGAAGCCAAATTGTCTGGGCAGAATTTTTATTAAATGACGGCTGCACATCTCTCCTTGTCTTTAAGCGAGGCAACTGGTTTGGTTTGAGATATAGGGATAATATCTTGGAGACCCATGTTCGCTTTTCACCGATGCAGTTAGCCTTTGTTTCATTTTAATGGCAACATTGCGCGACCACATAGACCTCTTGTAATCGGCAATTTTCTGGAAAGTGAAATTTCCTGCCAAAGCATCTCTCTGAAAACCATCAAAGACAGAAAACAGCATTGCTAAGCGAACGTAAACGTAAAGACGACGCATAAAGGGCACAGCTTCTGAACTGTTTCGTTTTATCTGTAAATGTTTGCCTTAACTTTTTTTGTTGTTGTTATGATCCGGGAAGGAGTTTCAAACGTTTCTATTGCGTGACGAACTTTGTTTGTAACGAGCAAACACTCTTAAATCCGTTATTTGTTTAGATTTTGAACAAAGTTGCTGCAAATATTTTACAATGTTTAAAAACGTCTTAGCTATTTTAACTTTGCTACGTCACCAGGGGTCTGNACGAGCAAATACTCTTAAATCCGTTATTTGTTTAGATTTTGAACGAAGTTGCTGCAAATATTTTACAATGTTTAAAAACGTCTTAGCTATTTTAACTTTGCTACGTCACAAAATGTAAATATGACTTTAGTCGTCCATTATCTCAATTTCTAAACTGCTTTATTCCCAGTACGAAACCAAGTTCTAACACTTGTCTATTTGCAGCTATACCCACAAGCGTTTTTCTAAATCAGACGTCTTCTAAACCCTTATGTAGCACAGCTCGCACTTTCTCGTCAAAATTGGCAGATCAGTTTATTCAAGGTTCCGTTATTCGAACCAAAAGTTTAACTAGATATGGAATTTTTTTTTTTAGGTTACGACTTAAGAACAATTTAAATTCTCCCATTATCAATAAAACATTTGATCCAATTATATTTTATTTTATAACCGTCGTTGAACAGCCGACCCAGTTTTATGGGTTTACGACTACTAATATTCAACTCCGTATCCTTGTAATTTTGAAAAAATCCAGAAGACAAGGGAACTTCTGGATCAAATATTGGGAGAAATTTGCCTTTGTGGAGGACTTTTTGATGGAGCTAACCCGCATTAACGTTACATGGAGAGGAAGACCTCGAGAACCTCGCACGGTTAGCCTGACGGCAAGGGGACTCTAATCCATGATCCGTCTACCACTGAGGATATTTCACGTCAGCACTGTGGTCGGTGCAAGCCGGATGTGGAATTCGTATCGACCAGTCATCGCCGGGATCAAACCCTGGTTCACCTCATTGGAAGGCGAACGCTCTGTGCTCTGATCCAATTATATATAGGATTAGTACCCCAGAGATATTGATTTGTTATGGGAACATGTAGGGCTTTGCGACTCTACGATTTAATGTGCATCAGTCACCTTTTACTACACGGGGAGTCTTCGGCCGGCTGGGATCGAACCCACGAATCCAATTATAGACTTAAAAGAAAATTCTTTGACCTTCAACAGGGAAAATTAAAGTAAAATACAAGCACAATAAGAAATGAGCAGAAAAAAAAAGAACGCCGAGGTTTGATAGTTTTTAATTGTCTGTAACATTAACTAAGTTTCATTTTTTAAGGAAAATTTTGTTTTTCTTACTTTCGATAAAGTAAACTTAATTTGTGGTAGAAAGTAAGATCATTATATTTTTATAACCGGAATTTAAGTTGGAAACTTGCACGCCTCATTAACACAAATTGATACGTATTCTTCATTATTGCAAACTTACAACATGTATTATTAAATTATAAACTACGGATGTTGAGAATTTAATATTAATTATTCATCATTTTCATGGGTAAAAGTTATAGTAGAATCAAAAACTATTAATATACATTAAAAAAGATATGTTCTTAACAATACCTTACTAAAAAAAGATTCCCCCCCCCTCCCTTAAATCATATTCATTTGATTGTACAATTCTGCAGTCAAATAAAATATCTGACAAAATGGCTTTAGTTAGTTTCCGAGTTTATAAAACTATCTCGATATTTTCTCTCATACAAATTGTTAAATTAATGTAAATAAGTCATGAAAATATTATCAATATCA